TATCCCCTGATAATGCGAAAGCATGATAGAATCAGTAGCTAATGCCAATTTTAAGTTATATTTCTATTCCCTAAAGTAGAGCTATATCTTAAGAAATGAGATCATTGGCAAACTTTCAAATAAAAACATGAAACTGTGTGGGGGGTTACCATAATTTGATTATTTGAATTCTTCAATATCTATATCATTGAACTTTAATAGGTAGGCCATGCTTAAAACTCTATAGCATTGTTTACTGCAGAGTCAGAGAGTTAATGGTGACTGAAGCTGTCAAGCTCATCACTTTCTAGTTAAATTATTACTACTAAAAGTTCCTATCTTTTGTAGTGATTGAACATAACTTGAGAGGGAGAGAGGGACAGATGAGGGAATAGGGGAGAGCAGAGGAGAGAAAAGAACATGGTCAAGAAATGTACTTGGCCCAGGGAGGGGATTGCCGTCCCATGTACGTGCAGGTTGGGCATCTTTGTGGCATTGGAGATACTTGAACATCTTCAGCACATGGGCCTTACTGTGCCCCTATCATGCCTAATCCCCTGGATGAAGCCAGAAGCTACAGCAGAGCACTGTGGATCCTAGTCTTTCTTCTGTCCCATTGCTTTGTACATTGCACAGAAGAATCCAGGACAACCTGGAAGATTGTGAGATGTAGAAATCTAAGAACAAAGCTATACTTCTCGTTTGCGTGAAATCACAGAGCACTGCCAGTTGACCTCTTACTTAGACAGACAAAAAGCTATGTAATAAATTAACTGAGATAAAGTGGCCTCTGTTACCAAACAGGAGCCGAAGTATCTACTTTGATAAATGTACTTTTATAAACGAGTAGGAAATAATTATTGTTATTGTGAAACATGCCACAGAGAGGGCTGAGGATGGCATTTTACAAGCTTAAGCCTTGTACATTCATTCTTTGATGACAGGGCATGTGAACAACTTAAGTACGATGTTGCCCAAAGTATATTACTATCTGATTGACTCATTCTGTAGGACCTGGTTTTCATAGGAATTCAATCGAGAAAGCATTGATAAATGTATGAGTAAGTATTGCTATGGTTTTATTCTTCACTGCATCTCCAGCCCAAAGCACTTATGATTGATAACAGCAACCATAAACTGGAGCCTAACCAGCCTTGCATTTCCCATCTCCCCCTTTTCTTACCTTCCATTATTTTGATTTGAAGCATGCCTTCTTCCTTTTTTCTAAATCTTAGGAACAGATCAGTGCTTCATTGCCTTTGGAATTAAGAGTGTGTTAAATGTCCCCTGCAACCAGGTACACATACAGTATCGATCACCCCAGTATAGCTATAATAAATCAGGGTTTTTAGTGGGTCCATCATGTGTCTCCCAGGAACTGTGACATCACTTTTTTCAGGTTTAGTCCAAAGTAACACCTGTAAATCTTTTTTTTAATCAGAATTTACCAAGAAATAGAAAAATGATCCCATCCCCCAAATTTTTTTAAAGATTTATTTATGCATATAAGAGCTGGGATGCAGGCCAGAGGTGCAGGGGAATGAAAGGATTCACCAGAGACAGAGTGGAGAGCAGAACAGGCAGATTGACTGAAGTACACTGCTGAGGGGAGCAGCAGGAAGACAAGAGAGGTCTGCTACGCCATGTGGGTCACCTCCCTGGCCGGGGATTGAACTCGTGCTGCAGTAGCTGCCAATTGCTTCATAGTGCTGACACTTAAGCCCAAAATGGTCCCATAAAGAAATATGAAAATTACTTGAAGAAAATTATTAAATTTACTAATAACACCTTACTCTCTGAATTTAGAGGTTTAGTACAATTCTAATCAAAATTCTTAATGGGACTCTTTATTGTTATACAAAAGGTTATTATACTGATCTACATACAGTTTTTTTAAGTAAAGAAATTAGGACACATGCGACCTCTGTTAACATATTTTATATCTGCAGTAATTAAATCATTTTAGTCTTGACAGCAGAATAGCAGATCAATAGAGCAGAGTTAGATAACCCCAAACAGACCCAATTATATGTAAGAACATAAAATACAGTAAAGAAGATATCACAAGCCAACTGTGGAAGGAAAAGTTATTAAATAAATGGTGCTGAAGCAACTAGTTTGCTTTTCGGAAAAAGATTGATTTTAATCCTCAATTCATGTCTCCAAAATAAACACCAAGGAGCTTTAAGCTTACTTATTTGTTTGTTTGTTTATTTATTTATTTATACAAGCACTGGGTACAGTCAGAAGCGCAGGAGGGTGAGAGAATTCACCAGAGTCAGAGCGGAGAGTAGAACAGGCAGATCGACAAAGTACACTGCTGAGGGGAGCAGCAGGCAGCAGGAGAGGTCTGCGCGCCATGTGGGACCCTCACCCAGCAGCCAGGGATGGAACCAGCGCTGCAGAGGCTGCAGGCAGCCCAGGGCTCAACTGCTGCACCACCAGGGAGGCCCATAAGCATATTTAAATATTAGAAGTAATGCCTTAAAAAAGAAAAACAAATAATACAAGTAGAATGGACATTTTAAGACAATGGAAATCACAAAGAAAAATAACATTGAAGTACATAAATCTGAAACTTACCCACATAAGAAAGCTATTTCAAATATTATTTAAATGAAAATAACAGTTGCTTAAAATATGACAGAGAAAGAATAATCTATGAAAGCTATACAAATAGATAAGAAAGATACTACAACCCTCTGTGAAGCAGAAAAATCACAGAAGATGAATTCTAAAGGCTAACAAACATTTCAAAGTGTTTCAAAATTTTTAAGTTCTACTTTGCCTAAATTAATATTGATTTTAGAGTATATATGTTGACTAGAATGAGCTTGATAAGTATGTAGTCACATGGAATGATATACACGGTTTATTATAGGGAAAGAAAACATTGTTAGATGATATTTTTCATTGTATGTATTATTCTAATCATACTTTCCATAATCGTTAACATCTGAGAAATGTCATAAGACCTTTTAATGTTTATCTGCCTCACATTTCTTAGAATGTACGTTTGATCAGAAACATAATAATGAATAAAATGCTGACAAAATCTCCAAGTGAACAAAAAAAAAAGTTTAGTAATTCGGCTAACTGGTGATTGTACTGTCTCTGTATTCATTTATACCTGCCTTGTTCCAAAAGGAGCTGAGGTACTTTTTGCCCAAGCTAAACACTCATTTCAGTATATTCAAAATAACATGAATTCAGTAAATACCCAAATTATAATTGTCTTTTTTTTTTTTTAAGATTTTATTTATTTATACAAAAACCAGGATATAGGCCAGAAGTGCAGGAGGGTGAGAGGATTCACCAGAGACACAGCGGGGAAGAGAACAGGCAGACGGACCAAAATGCACTGCTGAGGGTAGCAGCAGGCGAGACAGGAGAGGTCTACCATGACATGTGGGTATCTCCCTGGCCGGCCAGGATTGAACCCGCACTGCAGAGGATACAGACAGCCTCACAGCACTGTGCTCAACTGCCTGTGCTACCAGGGAGGCCCAATAATAATTGTCTTTAATAAATTCACTTTGTTTGTGTTTATTAGGGTATGTGTTGTCCTCAGAAGAGAGGAGCTCAGAGTCAGCTATTGTCTGCTGGGAGGGAAGATGGAATTGAATTGTTGCTTAGACGTGTGTGTGGCTTCCTTATTTCATAAGCTACACATGGAAAAATACTTCTTAAAAATTAGTCTGCTCTCTTCAGTTGTGACTCTAACTCTTCAGAAATGAGAAACGGTTATAGTGCCACTCATTGAAGGAATAATGATACGAATTTCAGAAGTGACAAGTTGAATAGGTTATTACTGCGAAAATCATGGTGAAGAAAATACATTTTGCAGATAAGCGTCAAGGGGAGGATTGGATAGAATAGTGACTACTCTTTGCTACCTTGTACTTCCCTTCACAGAACCACATAATTTACCTTTGTGGCATTTATCACTAAAACAATAAAATACTTCTAAAAAATTACATAAACTATATGAACTCAGTAAATAAATAGCAAGTAAGATGTTTACATGTGTGTCATCCCACCTACCCTTGAAGCCATCAAAGAAAAATTCTCAAAGCCTCCAGTGTTTTGAAAAGATTCATTTTATTTTCTTTTTTGTTCTGTTTCTAAGCTCAAATAAAGGCATCAATTTATTATATTTTGCAGCTTTCCTTATGTTTGACAATTCACTCTTTAAGTATATATGGATAGTTGGCATTTGAAAGATTCTAAAAAGTCTACGGCCATACCACCCTGAACGCGCCCGATCTCGTCTGAAAGATTCTAAAGAATTCAAAACCTGGCTAGCACCTATAAACAATTGGTTGGCATCTGCATATGGGACATGTATTTTTAGATAAAGCATCCACACACACACACACATACCCCTTTTGTGTGTCCTCACAAAGAGATTATATAATGTGTTATATAGCAGCTAATTTTTTAAGTAAATTTGACATAAACTAATTTCATCAGATTAAGACATGCTATATTCACATATCCATTTGATCAATATTTGTTGCTTAACTATTATGCCAAATACTGTGCCGGCTTACCTAGGAATACAGACATGAGTAAGCTATAGCCTCGAGAAACTTATAATAAGAGGAAATAAATTACTGATGTTAGAAACAAAATCATTAAAATATCTACCTTATTTCTCTAGTAGACAATTGCCATCCATTTACTCACTGGCCAGAGTTTTAGAAATTTTCACTTTGTGCCACTTTTGAAGGAAAAAAAAAATTGAATTGAGCTTATTCTCCAAATTTACCAGTATCAAGTCTGAGCTTAATCCAGTTTCTTTTTCATTCATATTGAAAAGGAAAAAAACACTTTTAGCTATAAGGTAAAAGTTAAAATGACTGCGTTGTTATTTTTAAAAGGTACAAAATGAAGAGTTCTTTAGTAAAAATACTAATGTTAGATATAATTCTGTGATATTTGCTTGATATAGTTGGGATTTATTGAAACAATTATTAGCTTAGAGTTTTTTTGCTTAATATTTTCCTTCTCTTTTCCAGGAGTTTATCCTATCAGAAGATTATAACAAGATGACTCCTGTGAAAAACTATCAAGGTAAGGATGACATTGGTATTTTCATTTATCTGGACTTTGAAATGTTTCTTGATGGCTTCCACTGGCACCACATAGGTCTTAACTTTACAATAGCCGGAAGGACGAAATATAATGCCTTGAGGTAAATATTATCTGTTTTTGAAGTTATAAGCTAAGGCTGAAAGAAACTGGTAACTTGCTTGTTGTCCTGGTAAAGTACAGAGCCAGACCAGGGCACATGACTCTCAAAACCACAGCCCTTGTCTATCTTTTCATTTATCTAAGAGAAGGAATTATAGTTTCATTGGGTCTTCAACAACAGCAGTGAAACTTAGGCTATTTCCACAGTATAGAGCAGCAACACTTTCGGAAAGGGTTTCTTGACCTGGACCAATGATGTCATGGGTCAGAACATTATAGGAGAACCTCTTAACATTCACATGGTGATTGAATCCCAATTGCTTGACTCCATTCATTTTAGATAATCATCCAGTCACACCTCTGTATCTGCAAAGACATAGTGACCCATCTGGATTTGGAAACATTGTAATATTAAGTTATTTCTAGATTTTGAACCTAATTTCATTTTCCTATAGATTTGTTCTTTAATTTTTTTCACAAACCACTTATCAAGTAGTGACTACCTGCTATCCTGTGATAACTGAGGATTGGAATAGTGAATAAGACAGTGTAGCATATCTGCATCTAAGTAGTTTATAATCATGTGGAGGATACAGATGGGTAAATAGACCATTAAAATGTTGTGTGGTAACATCACAACTAATGGTAGTCACTCAGCCTTTTGGTGCTACAAAAAGTAAGTACAGTCTTTCTTACACATGGCACCCTTTCAATGATTTTTAAATAACCTTGAAAGCTCCCACTTCTATCCTTTCCTGTTCCCTTATTCTGCCTTTTCTTTCTAGCCTAAAAAGTTTATATCCTCCTTTACATAACCTAAAGATTGTCTTTTTTTAAAAAAAAGATTTTTTTTTTCATTTTCTCATTTTTTATTTATATAATAGCTGGGGTATAGGTCAGAGGTGTGGGAGGGTGAGAGAATTCACCAGAGACAGAGCGGGGAGCAGAACACGTAGACAGAGCAAAAGCACTGCTGAGGGGAGCAGCGGGCACAACAGGAGAGGTCTGCCACGCCGTGTGGGAATCTCCCTGGCCATCCGGGAATCAAACCCTTGCTACAGAGGCTGCGGACAGCTTCACAGCACTGTGCTCAACCCGCTGTGCCACTGGGGAGGCCCTAATCTGAGTTTTGTTCTTAAAAAAAAAAAGAAATGCTTTGTCTTGGTCACAAATCTTGATCATGTTGTACCTTTTTGGGCTATTTAAAAGTGTGACACATTGTGGTAGGTAGCCTCTGAAATGGCTCTCACCACTCCTCACCTTCTAGTAGTCACACCCCTCCCCTTGAATATAGGCTGGACTTAAAATATGGCAAGTGATGAATATCACTTCCAAGACTGGATTACGAGAGCAGGTCCTCCATCCCACGCACCCTCTTTTGCTCTCTTTCCTACCTGTTCTGATAGAAGCTGTCTTGTTGTAAGGAAACTCATGTTTCCTTTGTAAGGAAACCCATGTGGTATGAGAGGAAGGCCATACAAGCAGCCAATAAGCAACTGAAACCCTTTGTTCAACAGCATATAAAAACTAAATCTAGTCAATAACTATGTGAGAGAGCCATCAAGCTCTCAGGTGAAACCGCTGCCCCATGTCATACTTTGATTCTCTTCTGTGTGACCTTTCAGCAGAAGCACCAAGCTAAGCTGCACCGAGATTTCTGACCCACAGAAACTGAGATAATGTTTATTGTTTTTGGCCACGAGGTTTTGGGATAATTGTTATATAACAATAGATAAGTAATATATTACATATATTGTGATAAGTACAAAATCATATTTCCTACTTCTCTTGGACACTGTTCTTCAAAAGGATAAACTTTCTGGCAGCCACTTTACACTATGGGTTCATGGGGAATCGTCAACTCAGATCCCTCAACTGTTCTCACCTGAATTGTTATTCAGCTGTATCTCTTGTACTTTCAAAGCTGTTTCTTGGGTTTTTGTTAGTTTTTATCTTTAATGCTTGACTTCACATTCCGTTATTCATGATCTCATTTTATTTAGTCCATCATGTCAGCAAGATATTTTGAAATCTTAATTGTCATTATATAATAACTCTCACTTAGTTTTGTATTTTCTTTAAATATATAATCATTAAATTTATCATCTCTACATCTTTGCTAAAAAATAATGGATCTCAAAAATTCCCGAATGATGAACGCACCACTACAACCCACTTTTCGTATGCCACTATTCTTGGGATCTCTTATATTAATCCAGATTTATATACTTCTAACTGTGTCAGAATATAGTTTCTATATTTTCATTTTTTCTACAAGGGAATTATGAAAAATCAATAACTAGACTGCTGCAGAGACCCTTTTATCACAAACACATTGGGATAATGGCAAATGATCCTTTTGGTTACTGTTTTTGTTGCTCTTTCTAATGCAGTACTCATGAGGAAAGAGGAAGATTCCTATGTGCTAGAAGCAGAATGACAATGAAACTCAGAATGATATACATATGACCTGACATTGCAGCCATGCTGAGGAGATAAAAAGAACTGCTAATAGCTAGAAGCTTTTATATGAACATTCACTTGGGGATTGGAGATGAAACCTAGGACATTAGTGAGAATGGAAACTAACAACTGAGATTTCTATATAAAGCTGACATCCACAACCCCATGGAGACAAAAAAATCTCCAGTCCTTCACTACAGGGAAGTTCATTATGGAAGACTACAGGGAAATTTACTACTGATCTCAAAATGTAGATAGAAGGGAATAGTCTCTTATGATAAAATCCCACTAGAAAACTTTTGATCTTAAAAGTTCTCATTACAAAAGAAAAAAAAATTATAATTATGGGAGGCAATGGGTGTTAACTAAACTTATTGTGGTTCTCATTTTACACCGTATACATTCGTCACGTCATAGTGTTATATACCTTAGACTAACACAATGTTATATATCCAAAGAAAGGAAAGTTTTTGGATTGTACAACAAATGTAAACTAATCATGTAGTGCTAGAAACTCCAAGTTAAAAATTTAACATAGGAATTGTTCCTTGGTGTTGTTATCCCTGGTAAGGGATAAGTAAAATTGCCAAAGTTCTCTTTAACACAACAAATTACATCATGATCCCACAACAACCACAAACCCTGCTTAAGATGAATTCATAATAATTTTTTTAACTACAGAATCAAATTAAAACACCATGAGTAAATATTAGCAGATATCACAAACTGCTGGAGGGATTTCTTAGATAATGCTCAACAGTCTGAAAAGAGAATTAAACATGTTTTAAGTGACTAAAGAAATATAAGGAGGTATAAAAACCAGAAGGAAATTTAAAAAGCATAAGGAAAACAGGCAAATTTGAAAGGAATCACATCGAGCTTTTAGATATGAAAAGGGCATTGAAAGTAAATCAGGAAATAGTGGATGGATTTGATGTTCCTGGAACATCATTGAAGTACCAAGAGAACAAAACAGCCAACAGAGTGATAGCTTTCAAAAAACGGAAGCAAAGTCAACTTTTTTGGACATACAGAACTTTAAAGAACTCATCACCATAGATGTGCAATAAAAAAAATGTTAAAAGAAGTCCTTTGGGAAGAAGAAAATCATGCCTAAAGAAATACAGATCTATATAAAAGAATTAGAAGTTTCAGGCATAATAACTATTGCGTAAGATTTTTGTCCTATTAAAAAATGACAAAGTAGCATGAGGCTCATAATATGTAAAATTAAAGTATATTGCTATGCTAAAACAAAGGGCAGAAGATGGGGAGAAATAAAAGTATATACTATTGTGAGGTTCTTATGCTATAAATTATTGATGTAATATCATTTGAGGGAAGATTGTGGTAAGTTAAAGATGTTAGCCCTAAAGCAACCATTAAATAACAAATCAAAATATTATAATTAATAAATCAGCCAAGGAGATAAAATGAAATAAATTAACTGCCCTTCCCCTCCCCCAAAGGGGAAGCAGGGAAGGGATAAAGAACAATGGGAAAATAGAAATAGAAAACAGATAGCAAAGTGACGCAGTTATCAGTAATCACATTACATGTTTGTAGTCTAAAGCAAAATAAAAATTAAATACCATCAGATTGAGTGCATATCCAAATACACAGCATAAATACACTTTAAATATAAAGCCTTAAACAAGTTAAAAGTAAAAGAATGGAAGGAGATATACCATGCTAACAGTAATCCAAACAAAGCTAGAAGAGCTATGCTATTATTAGTCAAGGAAAACTTCAGATCAGTAAGTATTACCAGGTACAATGAAGATCATTTTATAATGATAAAAGGGTCAGCCAGTTCATCAGGAAGGTATAACAATACTAAATATTTATGTATCTAATAAACATAACAGTGAAATACATGACATAAAATCTGATGAAACTTTAGAAAGAGAAATAGACAGATCCACAATTATAGTTAAAAAATTTTATATTTCTGTCTCAATTATTGACTAAATAAATCAATAATTGATAGACTAAGTAGGAGAAAATCAGTAACTTATAATAGTCATGAACAACACAATCAGCCAGCTGCTCTAATTGACATCTGTAAGGCATTCCATTCAAATAAACCATAGTATACACTCCTTTGAAAAGCACAAAAAAGATTTATCAAGGTCAGTAAGAGTAGGACAAGTTTCCGTAAAAATTTGGTAGGATTCAAGTCACCAATATATGTTTTTTAATCAAGATGGAATCAAAGTAGGAGTCAATAATGAAGAACTCTAGAAAATACCAAAGTATTTGGAAGCTAAATAGTACACATTTAAATAATCCATGGGTCAAAGAGAAATTACTATTTTTAACTGAAAATGAAAACAATATATCATAATTTAAGGGATGCTGCTTAAAAAGGTACTTAAGGGGAAATTCATAGTACTAATACCTATATTAGAAGAAAAGAGAGGTCTTAAACCATTGACCTCAACTTCTATCTGAAGAAACCAGATAGAGAAGAAACAAATGAAACCTAAACTAAAGAGACTTCAGAAGTCCAGAAAATCCAAAGAGAAATATCACTAGTGGTTTTTTTCCTCAAAAAATAAATAAACAAACAAACAAACAAACAAACAAACAAATAAATAAATAAATAAATGATGCGCCTTTAGCCAGACATACTTATCAGGGAATACAAAGAAAAGATGCAAGTTAACAATATCAGGAATAAGAGAGTAATTTTATAGATACTAGGGATGTTTAAAAAAATAATAAATACTATGAATAACTTTATGCTAATAAATTTAACAACCTAAATGAAATGAACAAATCTTGGAAAAAGAGAATCTTCAAAAGGTCACTCAAGAGAAAATAGAGAAACCTGTTCACACTACATCTTCCCTGCTGACTATATTAAAGCTTTCCCACCAAGTAACCTCCAGGCTCAGATGGCTTTACTGGTGAATTTTTACCAAACAGTCAAGGAAGAACCAATACAAACTTCTTCAGAAATTTAAGAAATGATAGGCTTTCCAGCTCATTTTATGAAGTCAGCATTACCTAATACTAAAAGTATACAAAGACAGCTTAAGAAATCTATAGGTTCAGGGCCTCCCCTGGTGATGCAGGTGGTTGAGGGCTGTGCTCTGAAGCTGTCTGCAGCCTCTGCAGTACCGGTTCGATCCCCAGCCGCACTGGCGAGGGTCCCACATGGCGTAGCAGACCTCTCCTGTCTCGCCCGCTGCGCCCCTCAGCAGTGTATTTCATCAGTCTGCCTGTTCTGTTCCCCGCTCTGTCTCTGGTGAATCCTCTCACCCTCCTGCGCATCTGGCCTGTACCCCGGTTCTTGTATAAAATAAATAAATAAATCTTAAAAAAAAATCTATAGGTTCATGAAAATAGACACAAAATATGTAAACAAAACTTTAGCAAATCAAATCTAGCAATACATAATGAGCATAATATAGCATGACCAACTGAGATTTATCCAAGTCTTGTGAAATAAAAGCAGGGACTCCAACAGAGTATACTTGTGTACCCATACACATAACATCAATCACGAAAATTAAAATGTGCAAGCAGCCCTACCTGTCCATCAGTGGCTGAATTGATAAACTGTGGTTTACAATGCAATGATTATTTGGCCTTAAATGGAAGCAGTACTGATACATGCTCCAACATGAATGGACTTTGAACACGTGCCAAAAAAGATTAACTAGATATTAAAAAACCACATATGGTACATTGTCAAGAATAGAAAAATCTATGGAGAGAGAAAATAAATTAGTGGTTACCCGAGGATAAGAGAAGGGGCTCTTGGGAACACTGGTTCTTTGGAGAGTGATGGGAATGTTCCTTAAATAGAACATTTTCCATGGTCATTGCGCAACATTGTGAATATACTAAAAATTACTGAATTAGAGACTCTAAAATTGTTTAAATGGTGACTTTTATCTTGAATTTAAAAAGCAATTAAACATTATAAGAAAAGAAAACTATAGACTAATATCTCTCATGTAGATGAATTTGGTAGCAGATCCAACAATCAAAACTGGTTCAAATTCAAAAATCATTGTAATCCATCACATCAAAAAGCTGAAGAAAAATCACATTGATTCATTGGTATAAAAAACCATTTGATAAAATCTGGCACCCATTCATGATAAATACCCTAAACAAGCTGTGACTAGAGGAGAAATTCCTCAATTTGATAGGAAAAAAACATCCACCAAAATAAAAACCTGTAGCAAGCAATATACTAATTGTGAAAAATTAGACGCTTCCTCCTAAGGTCAAGGATGTCCTCTCTTAAGTACTACTATTCAGAGACTATAGTCAGACTTTAAATATAAAGGTTTTCTTATATGCGTTTGTAAAGCTTAGTGTTATGTATACATATCTCTGAACCTTTTCCTTTTGCATGAAAAAATCTTGTCAACTTAGAAAGATCCTGTGCTTTGAGTTTTGGGACTTGTTTTGTTTTGTTTTTTTTCCGAGGCTTTTTTGTTGTTTTACTAGTCATAGGCAGCCGGCAGCCTGACATAGAACACAAACCAACTTTGACACAGAAACTATGGTTTTAATTCTAAATTCATCGTCGATTATGTAGCTTTGAGCAAATCACTTAATGTTTTTGAGTCTCTGTCTCCTCCTCTGGCACAGCCTGGCAGCTTAGAGGACTAAACTCCCTTATCTACAGGAGAGCTGTCATTCCCTTGAATTTAAAAAGTGACAAAATACCAGGCCCCCTTATATGATAAAAAAAAGTGGCAAAGCACTGAGGACCACTTTCTCTCTGCAGTGGACTTGAATACACTTGGATCCACTAGAAAGTTCAATGTTTTTCCATCACTGGTGGAACTTGAACTGGACATTTGATGACACAGCCATGACAGGATCTTTGGGAGTTTGTACAAAAAAGCACATCTTTCAGTTAAAGATAATATTTTATTCTTGATTGTGGCTGAAAGGCAGATATTTACTGTAGAGAAACCATAGAATTACTGCTTCTATATTTCTTTAGATTCACCATGCTTCAGATAGCAAATTTTAAAACGTCAAGCTTTAGTGAAACGAGGGTCCTGAGGGTATCCATTAGGGTTCCAATTATATTATTTGTAGCCATTCTAAAAGGGCTATCTTGCCGAGGCCTGGTTGTGTCCATAAAATGAGGAAACCGGGCCTCCCTGGTAGTGCCAGGGGTTAAGCACAGCACTGTGAAGATACATGTTGGTGCCAGGGGTTAAGCACAGCACTGTGAAGTTGTCTGCAGCCAGGGAGCTAACCCACATAGTGCAGCAGACCTCTCCTGACTCACCTGCTGCTCCCCTCAGCAGTGTATTTCACTCAGTCTGCCTGTTCTGTTCCCCATTCTGTCTCTGGTGAATCCTGTCACCCCCTGCACCTCTGGCCTGTACCCCAGTTCTTGTATGCATAAATAAATCTTTTAAAAAAATAAATAAAAGAAAACCACCCACTTTTCTGGGGTCAGTACAGTAATTAAGTGAGAGAAAAATAGTCGAGTAGTTGACACTTGTTAGACACTCAGGAATAGATGACAGTTATTGCTGTTGAACTTTTTGGTCCATCTGTACTGTGTAATTATTTTAATGGTTAAAATGGGAAACTCGCTTCACTATCACCTCATTACACTCCTGATAAGTCTACTATTATTGCCCCTCTGACCTCGAACCCCTGGGTGCAGGGCCGAATGAAGATCAGAGTCTAGGATATCACTCTTTGTTTAGTCTAATCAGTTCTGTTCAGTGGCCACAGACCACCCCCCAACCCCGCCTACTCACCCCCCAGAATTAAATAACAAAGAAAGCAAAAATTTTATCAGTTTTATTTTGGTAATTGAGAAGCCCATGAGATCTTAGCCATCTATTTATCTTACTGTTTTTACCTTACCTATTTACCTTACCTTATTCAGCTTGCCCTATATGTAAAATAGGGAGATAGAGTAGAAGACATTAATAGCTTCATATAACTCTAAAAATTGCGTGATGCAGTTACACTTTGCCAGTGTTGTCCTTGCAGATGAACAATCCTGGGAAATTCGCTCTCATTTTCACATACATGTATGCTTTGACATAAATGCTATTTATTTCTCTTTTATATGGCATTTGGTAATAATTCTGCCCTTTGTGAAAATGTGTTTTCTTATGGAAAGTTCATAGAACTTTGTTATGGGCTTATAAGCCAAATTTTATTGAGAAGGAGAATAATACATTCACTTTTTAAAAAATGCTAATATGATCTGACCTCAGAGACTTTGTTATAAGAAAATGGTTCCTGATGTGTTTTGCAATCACACTAGTTCTGTGCCATCTCTAGTTCAGCAGCTTAACATGTCTGAGAGAGATGGCCCAGGCTCCTGGGTAATGGAACCTCTCTCTGTGGTAGTAATCTTCATAATGATGCGGGCACAGCCAGGAGGAGAGCAGTGAAGGGAGATGGATAACTTTTATTTTCTTTATATTTCATTAAAAAAGCAAACAAACAAAAATTCAACTCTAATAGGCCCATCTACAGGAGGCATCTCCAACCCCTACAAGAACTCCTGTCCTACTTGTGTTTGTAGCAACTATGATTACTTACTTCTAGGTGGGAAGAAGAGTATGATGCGTTTCCATGGATTGTGTTTTACCAACCTCCTTTAGGATGTTTAATGGGTTGTTTTCTTGTCTCTTGAATTCAGCACATCAGAGCAGAGTGACGATGATCCTGTTTGTTCTGGAGCTGGAATGGGTGCTGAGCACGGGGCAGGACAAGCAGTTCGCCTGGCACTGCTCCGAGAGTGGGCAGCGACTAGGAGGTTATCGCACCAGTGCTGTGGCCTCAGGCCTGCAGTATCCTTTGCTGGACAGAATTCCCTGGTGGGAATTCAGCTGTTGACCTCTTTCTTTCATGAATATTTTGGGTATGTGCAACCGGAAAATTTTCTGTTTTGTTGTTTGCCCTGTTGATTAAGATGCCCATAGACTTTCCTAGCACACAAGTCATGTAGGTGAAGTAAAGATGGGGTAAAGTCAAGTAATTTCATCTGAAATAAAAGACCCTGCAATACAGATTATGGGTCTGTACACATCTAGATGGGACATAGCCCAGGTTTGTGAGCCTCAGTTGTCAGAAGGTAAAACCATCACTGAAATTCAATTTTTACTTTCTGTACAGAAATAATTTACACATAGATATTAAAGTTTTGAACATTCCTATTGGTGCCTAGCACAAGAAGCATATGATCCCTATTCTTTTAAAAAGTATCAATATTTATTGAGAAACCAACATGCCAGGACTGAAGTGGGTTAGCTGTTATCTATACACAGTTGTGCTGTAGACTTTGTTTCTGTTCAAGACTTTTCCTGGATATGTAGAATATGAATTCTTATTCCCATTTCTGGGTCTATGTGCTCAGGGTGAATACCTGCTAGTGCTGGCTGGTCCCCACATCTGGCCTTGAAGCTGCGGCTAGCACAGGCTTGATGAGTGTGGTGCCTACATGGGCGATGCTGCCATTGTAAAGAGTAAAGGGCTCTGAGTTTCTTTATTTAAAAAGCATAGACTTTCTCTCCACCTCTGACAATGAGGAAATAGGTGGTAGCAGATCACTTGTCAGCAAAAGTAGCAAAAGTAGTAAGACTGGCTTTCATATTTTTACCTCATTTATAAATGCATCTTCAGTGATTCTCAACAATCTGACATAGTACTTTGCTGGGTACTTGCAGATGTTTGGCAGTCGCTATGTTTTTGTCTAGGCTAATGTCACTTTTCTTTTCGTTACTGGAAGGGCGCACAATGAAGAAACTAATAATAACCATCATGGAAGGTTGTAAAAGTAGCAAGTTAATGAGAAGACTAGAAGCAGGGGTGATGAGGAAGGGCAAGCTGAACCAACTTATCTTTGAGAGGGTGGTACCACCTGTTAATAGAAGCAACCGTAAAGATCACTTTCTAGAAACCAATTCAGACAAGAATAATGCTTGAATTGAAATACATGAAATCTCTTGCCAAAAGATTAATGATTTCTTACATTGTTAGAATGGATGCCTCCTTTTACATATAAGCCCACTGAGCCTAGAAAAGGCTTTGTGCCTTTTTGGAGGCCACCCAGCTAGTAAGTGGAAAAAGTGCCTCTAGAAGCCAGGTCTTTGGCCCTGGGCTCCTCTTCTTTCCCACTCTACTGAATTACCCCTTTGAGAACAGAACTGACGGCATCAATCATTCTTTCTTAATACACTGCTTTCTGTATCACCAGCTAAGCCTAGTGACATGTCTTCTGTATCACTTCAAAGTGTTGGGGAAAAAATACACATCTTGCCCTTAAGAAATTTTCTTTTTAAAATATCTAGAAACAAAAACCAAAACACAAATACACAGATTTAAACTTTTCCGGGCTGTGGCAGTCTTGGACTTCTCTCTTCAGGCATCTCAGAAGTCATCCTCATTTTCAGACTGTTTCCTTTGGCCACACTGTGTGATTTACCAAGCAAACAATAATCATGGGATTGGTCATCAGAAGCTTTTGTGGTGTGTGAAAGCCTCTGGGTTGGTTTTCCAGTGACCCTCCAGTCCAATTTTGTTAGTTAAGTAGAGAGGGGCTCTTATGTTCCTGACAACCCTCCTAGAAGACCCCTCCCCTGCACCAGCTCTGCCTTGCTAACTCTAGTTTTAGAGCCACAGTGTCCAGCTTTGTTCCTGGGAGCACATATATCTCTGGTATTTTTCCAGTGCTGCACACGAAGAGCATAGCAGCTCTGCTTTTGCCAGAGGGTCTCAGCCAAGAACCATGTGACTTTCCCAAGGATGTAGGTTTTTTCCTGGGAGCTGCCTGAGCACAGATTGTTAACAGGCAGCCTGTGTAGTGTTGGGATTCACATTTAAATCCAGTTTTTAAGCATATTTTCTCATGGGAACACCACACTCCATCTCTTCCGTGCTCTTCTTTCTGTCACCTTAATGTTCTTTCAGTGATGAGAGAAGGAAGAAGAAACTCTACTAAACAACATTTAAAAAGATTGATAGCATTATCTTTACCCAACCCCTATTTCTCTTCACAGTGGAGAGAATGAATCAGATTGAATTTGGCCTTTTTTTCTCTTCTTTTAGGTGTGTTAGTGCAGAAGTAAATATGCAATGAAAATAATCAAAATTCAAGTAGAGAAAGAATGGAGGACAAAGAGACTGATCAGTTCACAAAGTGAATTATCAATATTTGAGTAACTTCAAAACCTTTGGTTGTTCTAACTACAGATCTGAAGCTTCAAATATTAAATGACTTACAATACTAACAACAGTGATACAGCAACACCAAGGAGAGAGGAAAAAAGAAAATATCTTAAATTTTCAGCCCCTGAGAGTTTGTATGGTGCTTCTGCATAATGTCGCATTGTTCACCAGCAAAACAATAATGTGAAGTGAAAACGAAAAGACCTAGTTCTCCATTCTCAGGGTAGAAACCAAAGCTCAGAAAGGTTAAGTGACTTTCTCAAGGTCACATGGCCAGATTAGAATGTCGATATTGTATAATATTTTCAACCAGCCAGCTGCACAAGTACATAGAGCAGAATGGAGGCTTGCCTCCAGGTCCAGCAGCAGATTGATATTAAGAAGTAGAACTGTTTTTCTTCCCTGCTTCACTTGCTAGTTTTTAATTTTGTTTCTGTTTTATCTAGCCTCACCTTTCAGTCTTGTCATTTAACTATATTTGATCACTTTTTCATGTTTTCCCAAAAATCACATGCTCTGCATTTTTTAATTTGTGCTGGAGATATTTCCAATATTCACCCTTTGTAGTTGAATAGTCTTTCTACCATTGTGGTCGCTTAGATCTGTTTCTTCAGGAAGTGAGTACTGAAAAGCTAAGATTATCTTGATTTTTATGTTTTCTCATGTCATACTTAATGCCAAACATTCTGGTTTTGAGATTGCACTGTAATTTTATTTCAGCCTTCTTCAAAATTGCTTTTGTTGCATTCTTTTTATTTATTCATTTGAGAATGCTCTTGCTTAGCTGCAGTTGTAAAGACTATTGGGTATCAGATTTAGTTGTTTTTTTTTCATCTGCTAAAATAATCAAAATAAATTTAAGGTCATCTCATTCTATGTGAATCTGTTCTTTTATATACATCTGATAACTTGTTAAGAGTGTATAACTTTTCTTCCTTGTTCTTGAAACTGAAAGAACTTGTTATGCATTGTTCCCTTTCATTTTATTTTTAAAAGGGGATTTATTCTGAAAAACTTCCAACGTGCATCAGATTGGAGAAAAGAGAATGCACTCATATACCTATCACTCAGCTCCATGTTCATTATTCTAGCCCTTTTTGTTTTCTCTCTTTTTGCTAGAGCACTTTAAAGCAAATTCTAGACCTTACGTTGTTTGATCCCTGCATACTTCACTCACTTCACTTCACTATGCGCCTCTAAAAACTGTGAACTTATTAAAATTAATTATAATGCTGTTATTCTCAAAATAACAAAATACTCCCTTTCTTATTGTAGAATAATTACTCAATTTTAAAATTTTACTTGTTTCAAAAATAACTTTTTGCAGTGGGTTTGTTTGAAATTCTATGCAGACAAGATCCACACATTGGCTGTGGTTCTCCTACCTCCTACATTTCTCAGTCTAGAGATTTCTTTTTGCCTTTAATGCCATCGTGACTTGTTGGAGCTATGTTGTCAGTTCTATAGACAGTCTCACAATTTTAAGTGATCTCTTCTTCCTTATGATGTCATTTAATTTGTTACTCTACCTATACTTCTGTATTTTTCTGCCTCTAAAATCTCCATTCAGTTCAGATTCACTTTTGATGAGAACACAGAGTAATTGTGCCATGTGCTCCATTTTGCTTCGCAGCAGGAAGCCCATAGTTTCAGGTTGTCACCCTTCTGGTGAGGCTGAGAGATTGATCCCTGGTTCAAGTGGTGACAGGAGTTTCCCTTGGCGCTGCCCTCTCACCAGCATTTCATTTAGTGGTTTCACCCATTGCTGATCTTTGTCTAAATCAGGGTTTCACTGGGATTGCAAAATAATGATTTTTAATCCTGTCCTTTTTTTCCACATGTATTAATTGGAATTATTCTGTAAAGGAGAACTTTCTGTCATTAACTAGGCACTTAGTTACCCTGAAATACAATTTGTATAGGAAAAACAAAAGAAATTCTTCATTATTTCTCTTTAATTACTTATTTTCAAAGTAGAGTTGTATTGTTCTGGTGACTTCCAATAAGGATCATTTTTTTCTTTTTATCCATTATTACAAACTTCTAGGGTTTGTAGGGTTTATTTAATAATATATTCAGTATATTTCAATAAATTGCCATCTTTTTCATTTTATGCCTAAATTGTCCCCATCTTTGGCCAACAAGAACCCTGTTATATTGGGTCCTATGTCATTTTGATATAAGCCCACTACCCATTAGTTGCTTCCTTGCTTTTTTAGCACATGTCTTAAGTTTTGTACCTTTCCTATCCCAAGCATGGGATCAGCCATTTCTTTTAGTGGGAAATAGTATACAAAGAGAGAGCTAGGAAGTCTTGTATGTGTAATTTTTAAAAGAAAAGAAATCATTAGTTCATCTATTTCTAATTCAAATTTAGCATCAGGGCCTCCCCGGTGGCGCAGCGGTTGAGCGCTGGGTTGCGAAGCTGCCCGCAGCCTCTGTAGTGCGGGTTCGATCCCCGGCTGCTCCCCGGCCACCGGGCGAGGGTCCCACATGGTGTGCAGACCTCTCCTGCCGCCCGCTGCTCCCCTCAGCAGTGTACTTCGGTCCTTCTGCCTGCTCTTCTCCCCACTCTGGCTCTGGTGAATTCTCTCACTCTCCCTTGCTTCTGACTGTACCCAGTGCTTGTATAAATAAATAAATAAATAAATAAATCTTTAAAAAAAAAAAAAAAACCAAATTTAGCATCATAGGGCTTTTACTTTTTCATTTTTGTACTTGATTTTTTTTTTTTATCTCAGACTCAAAATCTTGGTTCCTGAAACATTAACATAACTCCTTATTTGCTTTAGCCTATGGTTTATTTAAATCAACTCCAAGTAAGAATAGCAATATCATAACAGCAAGAAAACTGCTGAATGAGATTTCTTTGCAGTTCTCTTTGTCTTTATAATACATTCTGCCAAAGATGTACAGTCAAAATACTGTTTTAAAGTCCATTGAAATAATTCTGTTTTAACTGTGAGGTTCTATCACCAGTTTGATGGTTGGGTTCATTCATTTTATTTGATTACTGTGGGGGATTTTTAAAAAATGTGGTAGATACTTTTAGAATGTATTGTATTTATAAGATTCCAAAATGAAAACTGTATAACAGGAAAGAAGACTTACTGCATCCCTGACCTTCCTGTGTGTTTCTCCCTTCTCCCCAGGCTGCCATATTTTAGATGTTGATCCATCTCCTTCAGTGCTTCCTTTGCTAAATATGGCACACATGCTTTTATATTTATAGTTCCCTTCTTTTCTTACACAGAGATAGCATGTAAATTCCTGTGTATCTTGGCTTCCTTCCCCACTCCCCCACCCCCAACACTTAAGGATATATCCTGGAAATTTCTCCATGTTAGGTGTTCATTGCCCCCCCCACCCCACCCCGCACCCAGCTGCATAGTATACTACTGCGTGGACATATCATAGTTAATTTAGTAAATCCCCTTTTGATGGACTTTTGGGTAGTTTGCAAACTAGCTATTAAAAGAATATGGTATACATAGCTTCGGGCATGTGTCATTTTGTATTTTTTGCAAGTGTCTATCTGGGGTAGTTCTCTAAAAGTAGGATTGCTAGGAATTATCAGCTGAATTATCAACTCGTTGAGAATTGGTGCCTGGGGGTTTTACTGAAGACTGGTCACACAGATAGGGCTGGCACATACGAGAAATTCCAGACTCCCAGAATGGAAGCAGGTATTTAGCAATAAACCATATTGTTATACAGTTAGGGCACAGAGATCCAGTCCTATCAATTAATGGTGGGCATCCATCAAAATTCAAGTTCTTTGGAGAGAGAGCAGCAGTCAGGCCTGCTTAGTTAATTCTTTTTTGTGCAACATTATTTTCTCATTTCTTCTTGAACTATCCATTTATATGTTTTGTCCCTTTTTCTACTAGGTTTGTGCATTTTTTTTCTTCTTGATTGCTCTTTTTATTGGCGATTAAGAGTGATTGTGACATATTACAAATTTTTTTTTCTAATTTGTGTTTAGTCTTTGCTTTAAGGTATTTGTTGTTTGTGTTTTTTGAGTCATAGATTTTTCCCATTCCTAGGTTCTAAAGGTGTTCTCCAATCTAGAACTTATATTTTTCACTTTTTACAATTAGATCCCTTATTTTTTAAAATTTATCCTGATAAATAAAATGAAATACAGACTTTTCCCCCAAATGACTGTCTAATTTCTGACATTTTCTATTTTAAAACATCAATTTTTTCCTTATTTGAAGAGCCTTCTCTAAATCATACATGTACTCAATTTCTAAGTACTTTTAGGTCTGTTTCTAAAGTCTCTGTTTTGTTTCATTAGTCTGTCTACCTGTGAACCAACACCACACTTTAATTAAAAGAAACAATAACATGTTTGAATAAAACTGGTAGAGCTAACTTCTCCCAATCATATATCATATTACTCTCATTCCTGACTCTCCTTGATTATTTATTTTTCTATTTGAACTTTATAATTATATATCTCATTCAAAGAAAAAACATGTTATATTTGTATAGGGGTTATATTAAGTTTATAAAGTCATATATTGTGAGTTGACATCATAATGCATCTTACTGTCAAGTAATTCTGTATGTCTTCCACTTTGTTATGTCCAGTTTTGTGTCTTTCAGCATTGTCCGAGCTTTCCTCATACGGGATTTGCACATTTTTTGTTACATTTATTTATTTCAATCCTCCACTAAGTTTTGAGAGATACTCCTTAATGCTTACATGATAGATTTGATGTTGAAACCCGGCACGTGTTTATTGGTGATCACTCAGGCCAAGTAACCATCCTCAAACTGGAGCAAGAAAACTGCACCCTGGTCACAACATTCAGAGGACACACAGGTGGGATTGAAAGCAAAGTCTCCATGTGCCGCTGTGTGTTGTGTGTTCAGTTGACTCGTGGTGAAAGTAGCCTGGAACAACCTGGGCTTGTGCAGACCCTTCATAGACTTGAGTGGTTCAGAAAGATGTAATGTCCAACATTTTTTTAAAGATTTATTTATGCATACAAGAACTGGGGTACAGGCCAGAGGTGTGGGGGGGTGATAAGATTCACCAGAAACAGAGTGGGGAACAGAACAGGTGGATTGACTGAAGTACACTGCTGAGGGGAGCAGCGGGCGAGTCAGGAGAGGTCTGCTGCACCATGTGGGTAGCTCCCTGGCCAGGCATCGAACTCATGCTGCAGTGGCTGTAGATAGCTCCACAGGTTGCGTCTTAACCCCTTGCACCACCAGGGAGGCCCTGTAATGTCCAACATTTATACATCATTTGGAACAAAAGATGAACCAATCTGTTTTTAAAACAATAATGACTTGGTTCTTGGTTCTGTTACACTGAAGAAGGCTGGTGCTGGCATATATTATTAAGAAGCCATTGAAACCGTATGACAACTGCACAGACACAAGAAGACCTTTGGTCTGCCTCAGCTGCCTCAGTCTTTCCTTGCTTTCCTTGGAGCAAGAAGATAATATGTAAGGCTGACTCCCACTTCTAAGACAAATGAAATGGAAAAATACGTCCATCATGGTTAACAGGCTACATAAATAGGTTTAAGTTCCTCTTTGACTTTCCTTCCTCTTGGGCTCTTTTCAGTTTAAAACCAAAGGCCCCCTTTATGTTACTGGTCTGCTCATGTCATTTAAACAAAGCCATATAAAATATCTTTGAATTATTCAAGTCTCTGAAAGATTCGAATAGATGATGACAATTAATTTTTACTAGTGTTTTTAACCTCTAATTTTGACCCTGGAAAATGAGTCCCTGCCTGCTTTTGCTGTTCTTTAAATGGCCTTTCGTGTCTTCCGCAGGTTTCAACCCATGATTTAGCACAGGATGAGATGAGTATTGAGTTTAGACATGATATACAAACAAAGTAGGTGAATGAGGTTGTAAAATGGGATAACACTGTGCCTATGTCATAAAGAATTTTCCAAAATGGGGGGAAAGAATGCTGAAATGAAAAACATGCAGTAAAGAGAAAACTGAATCTGAGGAAAAGATCATCTTATTATCTAGGCATTTGGGAAGAAGAACACATAGAAACATCCCCTGTGGATAGGGTTCAGGATTTTCCTGATTGGGTTTCTCTTTTTAGCCACCTCTACTCTGGCCAAGCCTCGCCTGGGAGGGACCTAGAACAGTGCCACCTCAGAAATCTTAAACTTCCATATTTTGCTGCTGACCTCAGTCTCCGAATCTTTTAATCTCCTAAGCCTTTGCTCCAGTTCCTCTTGCCCTCCTTGAGAGGCCCAGTCCTGGATCCTTGTGTTGCCATTATCTTTGCCCCCTCCAGTCTTTTCTTCTCTCCAGTAGCACATTGCTTTAGCCACATGCTTCTCAACATTCTCAATTCTGGGCCCTCCTGTTCTAACTTCTTGGGAAGCTGCGTCTGTGATTCAGTCTCACTGTCCATGAGTTCTCCTTGTGCTCTCAGCTGCTGAACCTGCCACGAGTCACAAGCCATGAACCTTAGCCATCATCACTGTGGATTCGTCATTCCAGTCCAGGCTCCCTGACATGCCTCATGAGCCCTCCCCAAGATCTCGCCCCAGTACATGCCTCCAGATCATGCCTTCACATGCCACAGTAAGCCCCCTCCCCCCCACCCTATCCAGCCTCCTCCAAAGAAATGCAGAGGCTTTCACATTTAAACTTTTTAGAGAAATGTATTTCTTGTCCACCACATAGTCCCTCAACAGTAAACAGGCACTTCCTCTTCCCTTTCCTTGTCTCACGCTGCCTCTGCAGGAGCCCGCTGCCCCCACCCAGGCTCATGCGCCTCAGGGTCCTCACACAGCAGTTGTTCCCCTTGGCTCCCTTCTGATGAACTCGCGCTTCTCAATCTGTTAACTGCTTGAATTTCTTCCCTCTCTGTTACAAAACATGAATCCCATGTCCTGCTGTAGCAGTTTCCATCTGATTTTCTAACAGTAATGCTTTTTGCTTCCTTTTTTATTGTGGTAAGATACATATACCTAAAATTTACCATCTTAACCATTTTGAATGCAGTTCGTGGCAGTGAGCACACATTGTTGTACAGCCTTCACCACCATCCAGCTACAGAATATTTTTCATCTTGCACAACTGAAACTCTATAACCATTAAACACCAACTGCCCTCCTCTCCCTCCCCCGCCCTTGCAGTCAATACCCCACTTTCCACCTGTGAACCCGGATGCTCTAGGTATCCTATGTGAGTGGAATCAGAGTATTCCTTGTTCCATGACTGGCTTATTTCACTTAGCTTCACATTGCAACAAACAGCAATGCTTCTTAAAAGAAGATCATTTTCCAAGATGCTTCAAATTCTTCACCTTCCATTTGCTTCCCTGCCTCTTGCAACTTGACTTGTCTCTGTCATTCCACTGAAACTGCTACCCTGAGGTCATTGAAGGCCTGCTGGCTGCTAAATCTGGTGCACATGACATACTTAATTATCTAGAGGCGTTTCACATTGTGGCCATTCCTTCTTGCTTATAATTGCTCTGCTTTGGCTTCTTTAACACATTCCAAAATTTTCTTCTGTCCCTGTTTCCTTTGTGGTCTTCTTTGTGAATTCTGCCTTAGACCCTCTTCTCTTCACACTCTGTGCTCTCGCTGGTTGGTCTCCCAGACACAGAAATAAAAGGCACAGTCATTGTCCTCAAATGCCTCAGAGCCCAGTGAGAGATAGGAGCTAAGCAGTAATTATAGTGCGTCATGGTAAAGGCAGGGGAAGCAGGCACCGAGCATCTCTAAGAAGACAGGATAGGGTCCTCACTTGAACAGAAGTGGGAGTCAGTCAAGGGAGGGAAGATCTCCCCAGGAGAGATGTTGCTTGACTTAAGATCTTTGAGGAGGAGTGCGTGTTGAGTTCATGTAAAAGGAGTGAAAAGAGCAGTCCAAGCAGAGAAAGCCTGCGCACTGCAAGGCATGGAATTTGCAAGGGCTGGAACACTTGAGTTTGGGATGGGAGGGAGTAGTCAGGAAGGAAATGCAAGTCAGTTCAGATCCCTGAGGGCATTGTCATGACATCAGTGAGAAACTGCTAAAGAGTTTCAAGCAAAGACGTTAACCTGATTGAATTTTAAAAAGGTTGTTCTGGCAGTAGACAGTATATTTGGAAAGATAAGAAGGAATTATCCCATGAACTGTGGTGATGGGAAAGCAAGGAGTGGATGGTCAGGTAAAATTTAGTCAGTGAGTTCACAGGCTTGATGACAGATGGACAGTTCAGATTTGGTTTTGGCAGAGATGGCTCTTTGTCTGACCTTTTGGCTCTTTAGTTGTCACGCAGACACCTTCTGTGACACCTCTGAGTTCTGTGTCATTGCCTCCAGGTCAGGAAAGGGGTTAAGTAGATGCTTCTTGTTGCTATATGTTGAGCCAGATGTAGCCCAAGGGTGTCATGTCTTGAGGGTTGTTCATAGTGTTGCCTTGGCATTGTTTCTTATCTTTCTTCAAGAATTTAAGGTATTTTCATATAATTTTATCATAAAATATCTTTGAGAAGCTATAATGACCCTGGAAGGGATTGTTGTTAGCTAACCTGGAGGCAAAAATAGGCGGTCGTTATTTAACATATTATTATTTCTAGACAGTTGTATCTACTGACCGCAGCCTGGCTATAGCACAAGTCACTCATGTAATGCTAAAGCAAGGAAGCATAGGAGATTCCTAGGCCTCTTCCTATGTAGTGACCCATTCTAGGCTCTGGAAGTTCTCAAACTCAACCAGACACAACTCTGATAAAGGGAAAGCTTGTAAGGAGTATTTTAATCTCCTCACTCTTCTCTCTCAGTTAAAGACCTTAAGATGAACCCAGATCCGTTAAAGAGTAATCTTGGGGCTTTCATCAGTCCAGATCCAAACTCAGAAGCAGACAGGCTTTGGTATGTATATAAGGTAATAACCACTCACCCATCACTTCCTTATAGTATAGAGGTCATATAAAAAAAAAAAATGTGGGTGTATGATGGAATCAGCCTAAAAGTCATACCCAGAGGCCAAAATATTACATTTACTAATCCATTGGGACTAAGAAAACTAGTTTTATGTTCTTAAGCTCCCTCTGCTGGTTTTATTTCTGGAACTAAATGCCACATTCTTCCTTCTTTGCTTTTTCTGCAGAAATTAGAATGCATTTCTACCAATTTAAACAAAGAGAATAATCAGACTTTGACCATTTGAAATTCATAGTATCAATGAAATCTGTTTTCCTTTCACTTCTAAGAATATTTCTGTTAAGTATGAACATATTGGGAACAGGAGGACTAGAATATAAATAGGCCAAAGCATACTAATTAATGAAAGATTAAATACAGACTTTTTCATTAACTGTTACAATTATTAGAAGTAGCAGTGTAACAAAAGTATCAAAAACAAGACTGGGCATAGTTCAGTGCAAATAAGCAAGTTCAATAAGTGAAATTGAAAACTTAATTTTTGTTTATAATGAAGCCTTTTATGTCAATCCAGTTTATGTGAGAACCATAGACATGGATTTTCATCAAGGGCCCGTGAAGTCGTTAAGTCTGGAAGTGCTGGGCCTCCCCAGTGGCGCAGCAGTTGAGTGCAGGGTTGCGAAGCTGCCCGCAGCCTCTGCAGCACCGGTTCGATCCCCGGCCACCGGCCACCGGGTGAGGGTCCCACGTGGTGCGCAGACCTCTCCTGCTGCCCGCTGCTCCCCTCAGCAATGTACTTCGTCAGTCTGCCTGCTCTGCTCCCCGCTCTGACTCTGGTGAATTCTCTCACCCTCCCGCGCTTCTGACTGTACCCAGTGCTTGTATAAATAAATAAATAAATCTTTAAAAAAAAAAAGTCTGTAAGTGCTGAGTTCTGGGGATACAGGCTCCCTTTAGA